CTAAAATTAGAAATTCATTTTATTATTAAAAATAGATTAAGTTACAAAAATATTACGTGATGTATTAATTCAACCCACTAATGAATGACTGAGAGGCAATATTCCAATTAAAAGCAATGTAGTAAATTTTAGAAAACAATAATTTTATTTTTAGGTTCTATTACAGTTTTATTCAAAACCTTGAAAACATTTTCTTATCGAATATGGAAATAAATGTTTTTTTTAATTATTATATTAGAAACTGCATTATTTCATTTACTTTTTTTGTCGATTTGAAATGAAAAAAACTATTTCGTTCTATTTAAAAGTAATTTATTTGATATAAGAACTTGTTTTTCGGTTTTTAATTATTTATTGCATACAGGGATATTCACGCTGTAATATATTTAAATTATAGCCGAATAAACTTTTATGTTTTTTTTTGTACATAGGAATGTTAAATATTTCTCATGGTTGTACAGTGTAGAATAAACAATGTTCAGAGCAACATCGTGTTGCGTTTGATTCTTCCTAAATTATTTATATTAATAATTTATTGGACAGAACAAACGCCAATTAACGCGGAGTATTTTAGTTCAATTATTTTTTTCAGAAGTGTGATTGGGATCGATGATCGATGGACACTGGTCTGCATGAAAATTGTCACCGATACTATTCTTACCAATTCTTATGTAAAATAACCCCTTTTTTTTTAAGAGTCTCTAGCTGAGATACCCGTGAGGTAGAGGCTGTAGGATCTGTCTCCATTTTCTCCTCCTCTTCAACTTAATACAGATGTTGTCCCGAATCTATAATAGAGGATATATCCTTCTTTCTCCATTGCCTTCTTGAGTTTGTGGTCAATTTCTATTGTGAGGACCATAACCATGACCTTCCTTCCTGGAGTTGATGACTCGCCAACTCGATGTCCTTATATTGGAGTTCTGGCAAAGCTGGTGATACGTCGCTGCTTGCCTCCCGGTGGTGGATGGCTTTCTATTCTGGCTTTTTCTCTCCTTGCCGGAGCAGAGGTGAGAAGTTTTCTTTCTCTTGCTCTTTGGTGGAGATGAGCCACGCGTTTCTTGGTTACCTTGCTCTCCACCTTTTTGAGGAGTGCTTTCGCTTTTACTTCCTATGGGGCAAGCCCTTTGTGGAGCAATCAGAAGTATCTCCGTATTTTTGCTCCTCTAAGACCTACTCCCAGCGGATCGTATAGCCCCATCGTCTCCCCCTCTGGTTGACTCAGGCCAGATAGATAAAACGGTAGCTTGTGGCGCTTGTTAGCTCTAGAGGTAGGTCCCTCATCCTTACTAAAGGAGGTGGTAGCTAGTGTGCCACGTGTAGAGACTGGTCTCGCGCAAGTGGCACAAGTCTCTCCTGTAGTTTTCTTTGGGAATGGTCACAAGCTGTATGGGTAGCGTACAAGGCTATGTAACATTTCTCTTAAAGTGCATTTCCTTCACTCGCACCTGGACCTCTTTGAAAATTTAGGAGGGTCTCGGATTAACAAGAGGAACGGTTCTATCAAGAAATAGCTGAGCTCTAGATGAGATTTTAAGGGAAGTGGAATGCAAGGGTGCGCGGAATACTGCTGGTTTTTGAGAAGAAAGCGTGTTGTACCTCGGGCAAGCAAGCACACTGAAAAAAAGGATCTCTCAGTCGAAACGAATATGACTTTGACCCAAAAGATTGGCGCTTTTCAATAGGGCCAAGAACGACGTTTCTTTGCTCAAAGCATTAACTATCTTTTCATAAGCTTTAAAAATTTACTTTAGAGAATAGAAGAATCTATCTGTCCAAAGTATTTCACTCTTGACCCAAAATGAATATGCAAAGAAGTTCTTGCTACAAGAATAATAGTCTCTTTGATTCGTACAAAAATTCTTGATTGAAAAGGGACATTTCTTGATTAAAGAGACACTTTTCTTAAACTCACACCGAATACTATTGGCTCAACTAAAATATAATATGTATAATAATCATATACAGGCATATACAGGCATATTACGAGGTATATTATTTTCTGATAAATTTAGGTTTTCCTGGTCTGTAGTCAGTAAAGGGATATTATTTTCCTCGATAGTAGTTATTTCTGCTTCTTCACTGCTTTGTATTTTTTGGGGTGCTTCATCACTCTACAAATTACAAAAAAAATGTTACATCACGATTAATCAAAGTAAAGCAAATAAATTATTAAAATTATAAGTTTTGGTCACATTTTGAGTTTTTTAACACGACCACTTGAAATTCTAAATTTTTTGTAATTATTTGAAAAAAAAATCCATACCTATATTCTTATTCAATCTAGAGTCACGCATGCATTATCTAAACAGGTGCATTAGGTAAATGTCTCTTACCTTCAAATATAGCAAATAAATGCTCTAATTTCCATTTTTTCAGAAACTCCTTTAAAGAATCCATATATTCTAAAATTTGTCCATAAAAAATGACAAATACATGTTAATAACGTTCACTAATTTGTTATACGATATGCGTCCTTCGTCATCGTCTTTGCGTGTCGTTATTATTTTTCATCAAAAGAGTATTTAGCTATTGGAAAAATGGCCATGTTTCTTGAATGAAGTACTTCCTAGCGTAGTTTTCTTGTTATCTTAAAACAAAGTAATTTGCACTTGGTTGAATGAAAATAGACTCAAGAGAAATTTTCGAATTTTTCAAGGGAATCAGTTTTCTTGAGTTAAGAGAGTTTTTCTTCAGGCAAAATATTTTCTTTTACGCTAAAATAAATTCTCTTGCCACTAATTTTTTTTTCAAGAACGATTACGACTTTAGCTCAAGTCTATCTTTTTTATCAGGGCACCAAATAAAAGTAGAGATCTTTTTATTTATTTTTGTTTATAGCTCAAACGATTCCCTGTCCCCTTTTTATATTTTAAAATTAAATTCAAGTTCATAAAATTATTATTATCATCGAAAAGTCATAAAAATAGAGAGGGAAGCTCATCCGTAAATGGTGGGTGGTAGAAGAAAACGGGAGCTGTATTTGGATTTAGCCAGGTCATTTTACATAAGAATCAGCGCTCGCTTACATGGTACCAGAGCTCGAGATTTTTTTGTTTTTTTTTTGTATGCCAGTGTTATTACAGCTACGATTTAAAATAATTTTCATAATTACAGTTTGATTAAGGTTTACCTCAGTTAAATCTTATCGACACTGAACTATTTGCAATTTTATGAACATGCAGTAACAATTTTAATGCTCCATTTCTCTAGGTATTTAAGTTTTTCACACCAAATATGCACTAAAGCTTTACTATTTTCTAAATACTTTGTTGCGATAATAAAATTAATACCAATTTAAACAAAGTTTCTAAAAAGTAATTTTAGATAATTATTTGCCTTAAATGTCATGGATACTTCAGTGTGGTTTTGCAAATAAAAATTATTTCATTAGAAATTTCAATAAAAATAGCCTCAAAAGTTATGTAATTCTTAAATAAATAGGTCTATAGAGATAATAGAACGTTAACACTCTTTATTTTTAAACAAGCCTTGGAGACCATTAAAACTGTAATTAAACAGTGATAAAACAATTCATAAATATTTTGACAAACCGGAGTTTAGTTATCTCTGGCTTGGAATTGTGAAACAATTTTGATTGCAATTGCAACATGTGGAAATAGTTGTCAATATTGACATAAAAGTGCATAACAGATTGTAAAACAATGATCTGAAAGAACGGACTGTTCGTATACTTTTGACCTACTTTTACCAAAAATAAACGTGATTAATATAAATTTTGATCAGAGAAATGCACATTTTTTCTTTCACATTTCGAAAATAGAATGGCATGTTGGACAGCACGTGTCATAAAAATAGCCTGACACATTATTAACTTGAGAAATGGAAATTTATTTTTATCTCGATTTTAATTTTAAAAATGTATTTTTACTAGAAAGGTGATTAGTGGTGTAATATTCCATTATAATTTATTGGTGGTCTAAGATATACCATATATACGTATAGGACCATACCAACTGTGATGAATCAAGGCTCAGAAGAAATCCCAGATATTACTTTAGATGAAATATCGGCGGCATTAAACTTTATGAAAAATAATAGGTCTCCCGGTGACGACAATATAGCTACTGAAGCCATTAAAGAAGGAGGAGAAAAGGTTCTCAAGGCTTTGCAAATATTATTCAACAAATGTCTTGTCGAAGGAGGAACGCCATCAGAATGGGATAATGCCAATATAATCCTATTACATAAAAAAGGGGACAAAACAAACCTTACCAACTATCGGCCTATTAGTTTACTGAGCCACACATATAAATTATTCACAAAAATTCTCACAAATCGTCTCTCCCTAAAACTAGAACAATATCAACCAAGAGAACAGGCTGGATTTAGATCGAACTTCGGTACAAATGACCATCTGTTGGTGGTGAAGTCCCTAATAGAAAAATGTGTTGAGTATAATAAACCCCTCATTTTAATATTTGTCGATTACGAAAAGGCATTCGACTCTATCGATTAACACAAATTATTCAAGGCCCTAGTCGAATGTCGTATAGACACCTGTTATACTAACCTTTTAAAATATATATAAGACCATGCAACATCATCTGTATCGCTACACGAAAACACAAATAAATTCCGTATTAAAAGAGGAGTACGGCAAGGCGATACAATTTCCCCCAAATTGTTCATAGCACTATTAGAATATATGTTCAAAACACTAAACTGGGAGGAAATGGGCATTAATGTTAACGGGGAAATGCTCAATAACCTGCGTTTTGCTGATGACCTTGTGCTGATTACAGACAAAATACACAAAGCTCAAAATATGCTAAAACACTTAAACGGGCGTCAGATCAAATTGGACTACGCATAAATTATTCAAAAACCAAACTAATGACTAATCTTGTTATTAGTGGAAATGTCTCGGTAGACGGAGCAAATATAGAACAAGTATATTCATATAAATATCTGGGGCACGAAATAACAATTGCCCGCGATAACCAGACGCACGAGATACAAAGAAGAGTAGGACTAACATGGGCAGCATTCGGCAAACTAAGATATGTGTTAAAATCAATGTGCTTAAAGAGGAAGGTGTACCATCAGTGCGTTATGCCAGTACTTACATATGGCGCAGAGACACTTACACTGACGAAAAAGTCCATAGAAAAAATCCGTGTAGCCCAACGAGCTATGGAAAGAGCAATGCTTGGTGTATCTCTAAGAGACAAGATACCCAGTACAGTTATAAAATAGCGTACACGAATAACAGATGCTATATATCTGCTTAAAAAACTCAAATGGAACTGGGCTGGGCATATTGCCAGAAGAACGGATGATAGATGGACCAAGCTAATACTAGAATGGCGGCCAAGACAAGATGCTCTCAGAAACAGAGGCAGACCTCCGACAAGATGGTCAGATGACTTGAAGAGATTTAGGGGAAACTGGATCCAAGTGGCACAGGACCGAGAAGAGTGGAAGGATTTGAGGGAGGCCTACGTCCAGCAGTGGACACTTCAGGCTGGTTGATGATGATTGATGATGATAAGATATACCATACAATTTGTGGTGTATTATTTATACCTAATATGACATACAGGATAGATTATTTTATCGTCGTCGTTGTGTAGCCTAATGAGTATCTGGTTTGAATTGGCAACTACTATTGTGTCGAAGTTAGACTTTAAATTAAAATGCAACGCGAATAACATTTACAGTGCGGAGACAATTAAAAAGTCGTAAAACTATAATTGTTCCTGCCATCCATCGTACTTACTGACTTTTAATATAAAAGAAAAATAACTCTAACTGTAATAGTAAAGTGTATTATAATAATGAGTGCGTTAATATTAAATTTAGAATAAGTTGTATTATCTTGTATTTATTTATACTAAGGACTGGCAAAGGTTAGTCTTGTATCGAGATTTCCGTATGTAAGAAAAGTACAGTGCGTTTATAATGTACTGAACAAAGAGAGGACAGTAAACACGTTGCCAAACGTATGGAATAAACCGAGAAACTGTGCACATCGCCAACAGACGTGGAAGGGGATAAGCAGATTTGTCGCAGTTAACCGGTCGACCCAATCAATACCTCTGTCAGTACTTAAAGTTCTAGGGAAAGGTGTACGTTATGCGTTCAGCTTCACGATTTAATTACGTCTCGTGATACTTAATTTGTTTATTTATTAACGAGTCGTTGTAATTTTCCCTATAGCTTGAATTTTTTTAAGTGCAAGCTAGAAATACTTGCATTTTTGGTAAAAATAAGTGGAATTGAGTGGGTGTTCGATAGTGGTCGCGCTATTAGAACTCTGAATTCAAAAATCGATATCTCGAAATCTATTAGAAATAATAGATTGTAGTTTTTTCAAGAACTTTGTTAATATTTCTGCTGTATTTTCTTTGTAGACAGTATGTGAAAATCTTTATCAATAAAAAAATTACACGATTGCTGAAAATTGCTATGCTCTAAAAGTAAATGGATGGATTGTTTACAATTTTTGAATGGAAAAAACAACCTTATCGAATTTTTCTTATGTAAACATATTGTAAAATATCCGATCTTGAAAATAAAAAAAAGTTTCAATATCCAAAGTGGTTCTTGAGTTATGGCCTGTTATGTGTTAAAAAGTTGAGTTTTTAAATTATCGCGATCACTGACGTTTTCTCGTTATAAAAAAATGACACCTTAACGATATCCTTATAATTCCATGTGAGATGCTCAGAAACATGTCTAATGATTTTATCTAGTTATCTCTTGAAAAAAAAAGTCTTTTAAAAATAAGCGGTTTGCGATCGCGATTTTACGTTACTTGAGGGAAAAGCGTATCGGCAACGCCGCAACAGCACACCGTCGCGCGTCGCGTCGGTCGGTCGCATTTCTCTCACTCCGACTTAATAAGATTCCTATGCGATTTACTTCCACACATGTAAATGCCGACCCAAAAGTAACAGTTGCCAGCACGGTATTATCTTTATATGGATTGGTGATGGGTTTTATATGTATAAAATACATATTAAATATATAAATATTGGAATCTCTATGTAGATGTATAATGTGAACATTGGAACTGCACAGATTTTTGTAAAGCGCTCTAATCTGAAGATTGTTTACTCACTTGTTTCGTCGAACTGCTTGAATCCCTTTTTGATCAAATCGGTGTGAGAAATTATGAAACTATAAAATTTGAAGTTGAATATCCGGAAAATTTGAGTTATTAAATGTTATTGCACCCAACAACGCCCTAATTACGCTTTCCTTTACGCGTTAACATTTTTTCGCCAATTTTATTAACATTTGAAATTGTCACAACACAACACGACGCCTAGTTCGGATTCTTTTTCACTTTTTTTGCTACCCAAAACAGCGTTAGATCACACAAACCTCATATCTGAGTGTTTTATAGTTTCAATCAGTGCACTAGTAAAAAAGTTCTTCTTCTTCCTACTCTATTATATTAGGCAGATTGCCTGTTCATTCTTCACATCATGCTACAGTTTCAATCGATGATAAAGTTAGGTCACACAATCTTTTTCTTGGCCTTCCCGTACTTCTTCTTCCCAGTGGTGATTTGTCTCGAGCTGACCTTATCCTTCCCTCGTCCATTCGGCTTACCTATATACCGTGCTGGCAACTGTTACGTTTGGGTCGGCATTTACATGTGTGGAAGTGAATCGCATAGGGATCTTATTAAGTCGGAGTGAGAGAAATGCGACCAACCGACGCGACGCGCGACGGTGTGCTGTTGCGAAGTTGCCGATACGCCTTTCCCTATCAAGTAAAGTAAAATCACGATCGCAAACCGCTTATTTTTAAAATACTTTTTTTCAAGACATAACTAGATAAAATCATTAGACATGTTTGTGAGCATCTGAAATGGAATTATAAGGATATCGTTAAGGTGTCATTTTTTTATAACGAGAAAACGTCAGTAATCGCGATAATTCAAAAACTCAACTTTTTAACACATAACAGGCCATAACTCAAGAACCACCTTAGATATTGAAACTTTTTTTTTTATTTTCAAGATCGGATATTTTACAATATGTTTACATAACAAAAATTCGATAAGGTTGTTTTTTCCATTCAAAAATTGTAAACAATCCATCCATTTACTTTTAGAGCATAGCAATTTTTAGCAATCGTGTAATTTTTTTATTGATAAAGATTTTCACATACTGTCTACAAAGAAAATACAGCAGAAATATTAACAAAGTTCTTGAAAAAACTACAATCTATTATTTCTAATAGATTTCAAGATATCGATTTTTGAATTCATAGTTCTAATAGCGCGACCACTATCCAACACCTACTCAATTCCACTTATTTTTACCAAAAATGCAAGTGTTTCTAGCTTGCCCTTAAAAAAATTCAAGCTATAGGGAAAATTACGACTTGTTAATAAATAAACAAATTAAGTATCACGAGATGTAATTAAATCGTGAAGCTGAACGCATGACGTACACCTTTCCCTAGAACTTTAAGTACTGACAGAGGTATTGATTGGGTCGACCGTTCAACTGCGACAAATCTGCTATATCCCCTTCCACGTCACTAGCGATGTGCACAGTTTCTCGGTTTATTCCATACGTTTGGCAACGTGTTTACTGTCCTCTCTTTGTTCAGTACATTATAAACGCATTGTACTCTTCTTACATACGGAAATATCGACCCAAGACTAACCTTTGCCAGTCCTTAGTATATGTTCATTCCATTCGCGTCTTCTGCTCAATACTCGTTCATTAATGCTATCCACCTTGCATTTTTGCCTTATGTTGTCGCTTCGTTCGCTATCTATATAGCAGCGTTTTACCTGTGATTGTGCGGAGGATTTTCATCTTGCCTGTTTCCAAGATCTTTTTGTTTTTGCTGTATCCGGTCTGATTTCTGCTGTGTAGGTCATCATGATCGACACCTACGCATTTATTTTTCCATATGGTGTGGTTCAGACACCCAGCCACTCTCATTGCTTTTGTTGTTTGTTGTCTTACCTCTGTTTCGATATCGCCATAACCGGATAGCTCTATCTTTCCGGATCTCTCAAAAAACTAAAATACTTAAAAATTATGACAAAGCCACGATTTCAATATTAGTTTAATGCGATCAACATGAACTGTAACAGGGACCGGACGGCGCCGGCTCCGCGCCGGTTGGAATTTTTTGAAATCAACTGAAATGCACCTAGCCTATAAGAGATGTTTCTCCTTACCTCTACCCTCTATAATGCAGGGAACCAAATCAGGGTGCATAAGGGCAATTAAAAATCTTACGTAATAACTTTATGCGCAGTATACGCAACCTTTTTTAGTAGTGTCTGTCATCGCGTGGAAATAGCCCAGAATAAACAGTAGTCATAGTGAATTTTAATAAATTCAAATTAACACCTCATTTCGGCGTAATAATAGTAAACAATTTGATAGCGGCACTCGTTAAAGTCCTGCAAACAATAACGGTGTCGGCGGATAAAGTCGTAACTTTTTTACATAAGAGGAAGAACAAACAAAACGCTACTAATAAGCATCATTAAGTTCGTCGCTTTTCCTAGCCGTAAAATTTTAATTGTTTTCGGTGACGTAACCGCTGGACGACACAACACGTTAATTCGAATAAATTTGAAGGCCCTGACCTGAATAATTTTATATTGAGACCTTTTTGTATAGTCGTGTGCCTGGTTCACTGTAATAGTAAAATATCTAAAGCGGGTTTTCCTCTGTATCACTTTTGATGTACATCAGTGTTGGCAACGACGCGACACGGAAATTGCTGTGCTTACAGGATTTTTTCAACAATTACTAATAAAAATTATATAAATTTAGGCTTAAAATAAAGACACCATTTTCAAACAAAAAAGAAAAGTAGGTTACTAAAATATTTGAAGAATATACCAGGTGCGTCCCAAAAGTGACTCACCCCTATAACTTTTTTATTTTTTTCAGATAAAAAATCGAGATTTGGTGTGTTACTATATGACATAAATGAGGATTCATTAACGTATTCAGTTGTTTTCGGTCATTTCTGATTTCACCGGAAATTACTATAACTTTTGATTCTTAAATGGCAACCTCGGTATTTTGTTTACTCTATTTCATAGAGAATGACATATCATATGCCAACTTTTGACATTTTCGAATATGGTATATTTGAAATTGCAACATACGATGACAATTCGAAATACCTAGTGTGTGGTACCAAATTATTTGTAAAAAAATGGGTTTTCCAAATATGTTAATGAGCCACCCTCGTTCCATTTGAAAAAAATGAGATATGATTAAAAATACCATTTGGGCATATTTTAACCGGTCAGGACAAGACACTAAAAACACTAGACGATCAAATTTATTTTCCCAAGGATCCTTGATTAAAAATTAGTGTTTTTAACACAGCCATGGCATTCTATTGACACAGCCATTGGAATTTAAAATACAATTTTGTTTTAAGCGAAAATGTCAAAAGTTGGCATATTATATGTCATTCTATTCAGAGTGTCATTTTCTATCAAATAAAGTTCAAAAATACCGAGGGTGCCA